TAATGTATACACATATAGTGAGAGAGAGAGGGGGAGACAGAGACACAGAGAGGGAGGGAGAGAGCGGGGCAAGCCCGTCGGTACGGTGACGCCCTCCTCCCTGCCAGAGACATAATGTATACACATATAGTGAGAGAGAGAGGGGGAGACAGAGACACAGAGAGGGAGGGAGAGAGCGGGGCAAGCCCGTCGGTACGGTGGCTCCCTCCTCCCTGCCAGAGACATAATGTATACACATATAGTGAGAGAGAGAGGGGGGAGAGAGAGACACAGAGAGGGAGGGAGAGAGAGGGGCTCGCCCGTCGGTACGGTGGCTCCCTCCTCCCTGCCAGAGACATAATGTATACACATAGAGAGAGAGAGAGAGGGAGGGAGAGAGAGACACAGAGAGGGAGAGAGAGAGAGGGGCTCGCCCGTCGGTACGGTGGCTCCCTCCTCCCTGCCAGAGACATAATGTATACACATATAGTGAGAGAGAGAGAGAGAGGGAGGGAGAGAGAGACACAGAGAGGGAGAGAGAGAGAGGGGCTCGCCCGTCGGTACGGTGGCTCCCTCCTCCCTGCAGCACAGATGTAATGTATTCGTGGGAGAGGGAGGGAGAGAGAGTAAGAGAGAGGGGGAGAGGGAGGGAAGGAGAAAGAGAGGGGGAGGGAAAGAGAGAGGGAGAGGCTGGCCCGTCGGCACGGTAACGCCCTCCTCCCTGCAGCACAGATCTAATGTATAGAGAGGGAGAGAGAGAGAGAGAGAGGGAGGGAGAGAGATAGGGAGCGAGGGAGGGAGAGAGAAAGAGGGAGGGAAGAAGAAACAGAGAGAGACAGAGAGACAGAGAGAAAGAGAGAGTGAATGAGTGAGAAAGAGAGAAAAGCAGAGAGAGGAGAAAGAGATAGAGAGCGAGAGAAAGGCAAAATGAGAAAGAGAGACAGAGTGTAAATGAGGCTTTACATAGAGAGCGAGGTTTCAGAGTTAGCGGAAGCATAGTCAGTCACATGCCTCAGCAAAACAATCAAACAGCTCTTACGTAAGGCAGTTGTCCTTTGGATCGGGCGCCACGCTTCCCAGCCCCTTGACACTGTGCTTGCCTTCAGGCAGTTTGTCAGCTTCATAATCTGCTACTAGCAGCTCATTGCATTCTCCTAACGCCACCTATCAGAAAAGAAATAAACCGAAATAAATTGCATTCTCCTAACGCCATCTATCGGAAAAGAAACAAACCAAAATAAGTTCCATTCCCCTAACTGGCCCTAACACAACCTAGCAGAAAAGAAATGAGCTGAAATAAATTGCATTCACCTAATGCAACCTCTGAGAAAAGAAACCAAAACCGAAATAAATATTAAATAAAAAAAACGGCAATTAAAACTTCTCAGCTTCTAGATTAACAGGGCTGAGATCAGCTGCTTAATATTCGTTAAATATTTAACGACGCTGAGACGTGCATTGGCGTGACGCGGAGACAATGTGACGCAGAGACGGCGTGACCGTAAGCTTACCTCACACAATACAAGCACTCCCTCATCGTGTGTCCTGTTCGCATAGCAGTAGTTTGCACTCTTGCTGGATATGTCGGCAAAGTAGATGCCTTTACCAAACTGCAATGCAAGCAGCAATATCGTCACCAACGAGCGGAGGAGTGACGGAGGGAGAATCCTTGTGATTATCAACAACCAGGAATGACGGCCAGTGTGTCAGCAGCTGTATATACCGTATGCTGCAGCGTTACCTACCATGTATCCGGTGACCGGGTGCTGCAGCATTGCCTACCATGTATCCGGTGACCGGGTGCTGCAGAATTACATACCATGTATCCGGTGACCGGGTGCTGCAGCATTGCCTACCATGTATCCGGTGACCGGGTGC